CTGTACCCTGGCCGTAACTACCAAAGTTATTGGCACGATGTCAACGGGGAACTCGTCCAAATGCTGTCCAACCTGCACAAAAAGCCATTGTTCTGCCTTGCAGAGCAATGGCTTTTTTGTTTTCGGTTTTTCAACTTCGCTTTTTCGTCAGTTCCCCACTGTATAGCACCCCAGCTACTATGTTTGAGCGAGTACCTGATTATCGTGCCTTATGCCTACAAAAGCCCTCCTGCCTGACATCAGTGGGGCCGAAGTTTGCGTCAAGAATGGAGACTTTACCGTTTCGAGTTTGTTCCCTTTCCCCTTCCTTGGCCAATGGGATTTTTCTGGGAAGTTGGAGGTAAGGAGAGGTGGGCAAGTTGACAAACTCAAAGTTTTATGTCGAAGAGGGGTCGTACTGATTGTTTGTGGCTGCTTTCCCTTATCCTTATCTCCCCCTACCTTTACTCTGATTGATTTGAAGCTAAACACCTAAGGCTAAAATCTGCGAGACATCCTAGTCCGGCGCTGAATGTGTTGCCGCCTTGGTCAGGATTGAGATCGCGCAATCCGGTTTCGTCATAGATCCGTACCTTAAAGCGTGAGCATAAGAAGTAGATGAACTCAAAGTCGCATTGCGGTGAAAACATTTCAAGTTCATTGTCTGCATCTGTCGAGCCTATAAAAGCTGTTCGAGCGGCTTCATCGTGCTTACCGTCAATAGCCCACACCCTGATGGATCCTGACACGAAGATCAAGGTGGGTTTTCTGTCGACTACATATTCTTTCTCGGTATGCGGCATAGAAGCTACGGGAAGGGCACGCCATCGTTGTGGTAATCACAACGATTTGACCGCGAGGGAGAGGGGGTCGTAATTGCCTTTGACAGGAATTTGCGGCATTAGGCATTGTTCACACTCTGCGGTCCAGCGTTTCTCTGAAACGCGGCGGTTCGGCGAAAAGCTTTCGATACATATCGACTGGCGGTTGGGCGAAGAGCCTGGCGGTTGGGCGAAAGGGTTTTGGTACGTATCGACGGGCGTTTCGCCAAACCGCGACGTTTTTCGCCTTCGACAAAACGCTAGCTCCATCGCCGGCGCCCGCCCAACCGCCCAACCGCGGCGGTTGGGCGGTTGGACGGTTGGGCGATTCTCCGATCGATGACTATTTATTGCTTTTCTCCCAACCGCCGGGTCGCAATCTGTGAACAATGCCTTAGAAAAAAAACTTCTCTCGGTTGCTGGCTTTTTGCGGTTTTTCCCGTTTCACTGGTTTTATATACCTCCTTCCCCATCCCCCCTCCGCTCGACAGCAAAATCCTGGGGAAAACAGGAAATTTTCCGGGAAAAAACTGGAAAAAGTGGTAGGTGGGTTGGGAAAGTCTAGGAAAGTGGTAGGTAAAATGGGAAGGGGGTCGTATCAGAACATGGAACTAAGGGGGGTCGTATTTTTGAGGAATTTATCACAACGCGATGGCGTGCCCTGGTTACGGGGTAGGACTAGCTTTTAGAGCGCGAATCAGTTTTTGCCGTAGACAGCCTTTCCCGTTGTGGACGAGGTGAGTAATCACAAAAATGCTTAGTTCTGAGCATTACCCCTACCCTCCCCCCCCCCCGGTCATGGGACATAACTTAGAGCGGGACTCGAACCCGCAGCTTAGGATAGGGCACAAAAGCCTTTTAAGTGGAAAGGAGAAGGAGGAGAAGAGGTCCAGGTAGCGCAACGTTTGGCGCATTCGCCCGGCAAGACCACAGCTTCACATGAATTAGCTTTGAATTTTAGAAATTTTTGCTCATGTTTTGTGTTCTTTGGACGAGATTTTCAGCTTTTTAGGCGTATCGCCTTGTTGGCTATGCAGCAGTGACATTTTCAACACTTACTATACTAACCGTTTGTATAACACTACCAGTCGTCTATAACTATGTGCATAGTGTTCGTCGTCAAATGGAAGGTGAAATGTTGGCATGCCAGGTAATATTCGGGCAAATTCCGAGGCGCTAAAGTGGTCAGGGAGGGGCAGTGGGGAGCGAGACTAGACCGCACCGTTTTCCAATTGTTCATGTCCTCTTATTGAGATGGTGGTTGCCATCTCCGACCTGCCTAAGCCTTGGAGGACGCAAACGAACAAGGAGTGTGTGTGGCCAACTCTTGCTCCCTTCCCCACCCCAACTACCTTGGCACCTATCAAATGAGCTCATGGACTACATTACCGGTTTTAGAAGAACGCCCGAACGCTGTGGGCTGAAGTGAACGCCCTGAAGGATGTTCCTATAATGCCTAATAGAACTGAACGTATTCCGAGAGAAGTTTACGGTGAAAGTGACGTCGAAGTGGGTTTCTAAATATGACTATCCTGACGCTCATGACGCGCGCGATCGCGGCTCTGCAAGAGCAGTTGCCGCCACGCGACCGCTCGCGCCCTTACCAACGCTGTAAACGATGTATTCATTCAGCGTCATCACATTCAGCCTCAGTGAGCTCAGCCTTTCAGGCGACCACCTTCGCAGAGATGGAAACTTACAGTGTCAGCGGCTGCGACGATTGCTGTCTCCCTGGAGCACAAGGTCCACAGGGTGCTCCAGGGAAGCCTGGGAAACCGGGTGCACCTGGAAAGCCTGGGTTCCCTGGGAAACCGGGTCGTCCCCCCAACGCGACCATGTGCACCGATCACCCCACCACCGTGTCCTCCCTGTCCACAAGGCCCACCTGGCCCCAATGGACCACCAGGACCACCAGGTAACGCTGGGATGCCAGGTGAGCAGGGACCGAAAGGCTCCGATGGACCTCCTGGCGAACCAGGACTCGAAGGACGAGCTGGCATGATAGGAAATCCT